GACCTTGAACAAATGAAAAAATATTCCAATTCCATTAAACCGTTTTGGTGTTAAAGGCGTCTGGTCCGAAACCTTTTGGGACATTCTTTATTTAGTACAGCACCCCAATAAATTCAAAACAAAAATTTTAAATGAAGACACATTTGTAAGATGTCGCATTATAAATCCGACTTATTTATTGTCCTAATTACAAATAAATTTTGTAAAATAAGCTAGCAATTGCAGAAATGAATCCAAACCAAGATCCATATGAACATAATAATATTTGTAATTTAATAATTATGATTGTAAAGGCCGACGCTAAATTAATCTTTAATAAACTATCTATCTATCTATAAATAAATTTACCATAGGAAACGCTGGCAAAAGATTTCGTCAAATGTTTATTCAACATTTCATGCTTGAAAGTTTTTTCTTACGAATCAGTCATGCATTTGTTCTCATGGTCTTTTTATCTGTAAAAAAAATGTGAGTTTATTTAAGCAGCTGCATATTCCCACAAAATTGGACCTCGCATTTCCTACATGTATAATACATATGATAAATATTATATAGGGATAGGTAATGTTGAATATGTTAAATTCGAACACAAATTATACATGTTTATCGAACTTTGAAACTTTTCTGCAAAATTTCTAATTATGTACGTGGGTGAAGTAAAACAAATGGCATAAATCGAAATAATTTGTTCCAATTAAAGTAAAAAATAAGTTTTTAGTCGATGGTACAGCTCGTCCTTCTGCAACAACTTGACATATGTATGTATCATGACATTTTATTCAGATATCATATTTGCAGTGGTTATAAACTTAATGCCTAAATAGCAGTGAAGAGATACAAATATGTACATATATGCACGACGATTATATTTACGTAAAGTCTCAAATTAAATTGAGCTACATATTTAAGAGTGTGGATGGTTTTTTTATCCGGTCCAACTTACCAAATTGGCGTAATGTGTGTTTTAGCGAACACAAATAAATCCATGTACCATTATCCTAATTATTTATACTCGAACTTTTTTCCAATTACGAAATTTGTGAAAAGTAAGATTTCGTGGAATAATCGAACTGGTGTACACATCATAGATACAAACACGTACATTGTTATGTAAGTTGATATAGATACCTATATAGATGTAAGTATATATACCCAGTTCTCTAATTTCGATCTATTACATATACATATATAATTCATGTTACATGAATTGCATACTATGTACATGAATCATGTGCATAGTTTAGGTTGCATTCTGAAACCAATCTGGTGCCAACATCCATCCATTTTCAAAGAGAAACATTCCTTCATTAATCCGTATTAAGGCTTGCGTTCAACATAATGAATTCAGCACTTTACTTGTTGTCAATAATTTTAATTTCTCCTGCTCTAACAACCTCAGCAATATTTTGTACTGAAAAAGTCTCCAAGCTACATGCACTTTCATCATTACTCCAAAACACCCCTCTTCGCTCATCAACAGTTACATGGGAAGATTCATCATCACCTTGTCTTACCCACATTTTGGTAACCCTCAACCAAAACTACATCACACTATCGTATCATCAAACACGAAAAGGTTTCAAAATTTTAAGGAAATTTAGTGACAAACTATCAGTACGATACATTGTCATTTTCTCGTCCCAACAATGGATCCAAAATTTACTGTCTGCCATGACCAAATCCTCAATTCTCACCCTCACGTCGGATACTGTCGTATCCATCAATCTATCCCCTAATTCCCTATCCGATACATCCATCTATGGCGACCTACGTTTCGTCCTCGAAATACACTGGGAAAACGAGCAACGCTTTAATGTAAATTATCTCTCCCGAAATTGTCACCCTTCCACATTTTACACCCCGGTTTGGAAACCTTTTAATAATTCCAGTAATAATTTTTACAAAAATCTCAACAATTTTCTGCGATACGAATTACTCTCCTGGGACGTTGACCTAACCGGACAACCCAACAATTTTTACTTAATTAAAACCCAATTCGCCAACAGAGACGATAATCGTTTCATCTTCCCACAATTGCTCGCACTATTTCACCTCTCGGAAAAACTTAACGCCACATTTCACACCTGTCGAGGACATCCCTTAGCACCGACAGGTAAGTCACCACCTAAGTGTTTCAAGCGAAAAATGAACTTCTTCTTTAGTGCGAGCGATTATGATGGTGCATCATTCAAAAATAGGCACCACCGATTTTACACCGATAGTCGGTTTGAAATTTCCTTCCTCACCTACAACTATTTACACCCGAGAAATTATGCATTTGCCGCGATAATATGTCCCATCGGTTTAGAGCTTTTACTGGTCACAATCGCCCTTCTATTTGGAATTTCAGCATTGTGCCACCTTCTATTCACATATCGGAAGTTTTCCCATCCAAATTTCTTCCTGCTCTTCATAAGTCCTCTACTCAGCCAGGAGGTCAAAATGTACTCGAAATGTAGTCGTAATACCCCTGCTAAGGATTTCACGTTCAAATTGGTCATTACAACTTGGCTCGTATATTGCCTCATTATGACCGAAGTTTATCGCAGTAACGTGTACAAGTACTTATTTCTCCCTTCTTATACAACACCCCCGCAAAATTTCGACCAACTGATTAGCTCTCCAGACTATGCGGTGATCACGACCTCATCAAAATTCAAATCCATCACTTCTCCCGACTCTGAACACGCCTCAATTTTTGCCCACATGCAGCCAAAATTTGAGAAAAAATATTTTATAATGTGCTGCTCTGGAGGTGAGACGGACCTGGTCGATCTATTCAAAAACCTGACCACAAAGCCCACTGCGTTCGTCGGAGCGACCGAGTACATCCAAATGTTGGAAGTTCTCTTCCGTCAACTCATTGGTACTGGAAGTGCCAGCGCGTCGTTGGATGTTGTCATGGGAAAGAAAGTTTGGATTTTGTACAATCGACCTGGTTTGATCGAAACGTTAGGTGTGTTTAAGGGTTTGGTCGTTTCAGGAATTTTGGAGAGGTCAAGGAAACGTTTGCACGGGACGTGGGCGGAAGTTTATGTAAAAATGTAAAAATGTCGTTTAACTGGTCTGCCACGCTAAAACGCTTTTCTGAGACTTATGGGGCTGGGGAGGGTAATAAGGGAGGAAGTTATAATGGGGGGAGAGGTGAGCGTGAAGGTGCTTGGGTTGAGCAATTTGCAGGGATTTTTTATTATTTTATTGATTGGGATAGGTCTTAGTTTGGGGGTGTTTGTATGTGAGATTTTATGGGGAAAGGGGAGAAATAGGCCGACAAGAGTGCTTCTGTTTAACTAAAACTTGAGAACCTGACCAAAATGAGCAATACCAAAATACCAAAGTAACTATTTATGAGTATATGTAGATTACATATATACATGAATATGTACTTCAATAGATACATAACATTTTGTTCAACTTGCTAATGGAATAAATATATAAGGTATGTAACTGGAGAAAATAAATATATAAAATACTTTGCTATTAATATACTTTGCCAGCGCTTTTTCGATAAGTGCACTCCAAAACACTTTTGGGTCAGTGAAACGCACGTGAAGCGCATGTAAATCAGTTCTCCATTCTTGGTCGGTAACCTATCGTCAATTATAACTTCATTCCATTTGTTACCCTGGAAGAAACTGTGAAATCCAATGCAAGACTATTGCATATTAAATTTCATTTTCCAAAGAAACTTAGAATATTATTCGTACATATGTACATACTTGAAATGGCACACCCGAGCGTAAACATTATTATTTCCAGACCATTCGTTGTCGATCGGTACGACTTTAGTAAACAGGGTATCATTCAGTGTTAAATTTCCCAATGCTGCCAAAAACCAGGAGTTATCTACAAAATAAGGAAAAAAGTCAGTGATTAAATCTCTCGTATATAAATCTGTACCTACAAAATGTTAATAAAATTTAAACTGACCAAAATCTCCTAGTCTCGCGTCAAATTTAGTATTAACATATTCCCCAAAAAATGTTGCTGCCTTGTTAATTTCCTAGAATTCAGTTTCATCTCATTTGACATGCCATTATCATGCAGCTGCTATAAATTAAATATGTATGTATGTGTGACAAGACAATTAGGTGAGGACGTTTCCATTAAACTCATCGGACGCATCTTCCTAATGAAATCGCTTAAGAGTCTTAAGCGAGAAGACCACGATACGATGACCCATGGCTTACTAAATCAATATATATAACCACTCTCTCTCCTCTTTCTCGTTCGTATTAATCTGGCTGGTCTTAAGCCATCAGTTAAATAAGTAAAATAGTGATATCTATCCTCACTTTCTTTAAAGCGTTGTGCATACCGACACATTTAACATATCGAATACTGGTAAATAATAAAATAGTTTAAACAAATTATTTTATTATGCTCCGATTCCAAATATTCTGCTGATGTGGAAGTTCTCGCTCTTAAGGCAAAACATGATTGCAGTTAGGTTCGTTCAAGTAAGAATGGATATAAAGATATGCTACATTAAATTGTACATTTAGATATTTCGGAAGGATAATGAATACGAAGAAATTTAAGGTTGACTCACTTGTTTTTGTCTGAAAATAATGAAGAAATGCTCCACCACCAAATGGTTATTTGTACAAAGATCAGGATGAGAATTTAGTGATGGAATTTTAGTAATAAATTTGTATATATGTATGTAGATACAATTAAGAAATCAAGGAAATGTCGTCATGGAAAAATTTATTCGCACACGTATTTAAATCGAATTGAGAGAGGTAGTAGTAATGATATTATCGAAGCGAGGCAGGAAGAGACCGATGTCTGTCTCATTCTGCTTGGTTCTCACAGATGAGGCAAAGCGAGACTACCGAGTTGGTGCAACTTGCAGAACAATGCGAGATCGTAGAAGCACAATTCGCCTCAATTAAATTATTCCACCTGGGCTGCTCCGTTTAATTACTTGGATAAATTTCCAAAAGCATTATGTAGGCAAAATCATACACGTTGTGTCCAATAAAAAAACATGCAGGTGCATTTACAACTAAAAACTACTTTATTTGAAACCAATAAATTGCTTGTTATAAAATATTTGAATTTCTTACTCTGCAATTTTTAAATAATTGCTGTAATCTACTCGTAGAATATCTTATACCAAGGACTTAAGGTCCAACTTAACTCGGAGACAGCTTCTTCCTATGGGACCGAAGGGTCCGTGATTTTCCAAGGATTCACACTTACTGCCCACTCCAGTAATTTTGTACCCGTCGACCTCGTCTTCCTCCATGATGACCTCAGGCACCCCAGCCCAGTCGGCTCTTGTATCTCCTCGCCTCTCCAAGTCCAAAATATGACCAAGTGTACATTTCTTGAAAACCTGTCAGAAATCGTGATATTATTTAGTGACACGTACTGAATTATCCATAATTGACCTTACGTCTCCATTTGCCCCTATTAATTTCCTCCGGCAGAAATGGCTACCAATGTAATCTATCATTCCAGGCTCGTGGTCCAAGGCAGGGTACCAAATCCACAAGTAGGGCGTAATACGGTCCAGTTTTACGTAGCGCTGCTTACAACCTAAAATAATTTTGAAAATTTCACATATTTCAAAATTTCAAGATAACAGTTATTTTTCGTAATTTTAAGAGAATGGATCCAATTTACTCATTGACATCTCAATGAATCGATTTACATGCTTAATTTTGCAACGTTGGACAAACCTGGCTGGTTCCCATAAGCAAGTCTGGGATCGTTCCATGCTAACGAATAAGTAACTTGGACGGGTAGCTTATCCATCGCACTGGAATTCCAACTTTTATCAACTTTAGCGTTAACATATACCGAGACCTTTGTTGTAGTAAAATTTACTTCGGTTGGATACATGTTAGAATCATAGAGAAAGTTGTTCAGAGAGTTTCTACAGTTTGCGTCGAGTTGGAGTGTTGTGTCGGAATACGCGTTCGTAGCACTTATCATGAACACTGTGATCATGGTGAAAACGAATTTAATTTCACTCGACATATTTAAAAATTTCTGTTTTGTACAAAATCTGTTGTCAACAACGATTGTTTTAAAAAAAATACTGTAAATTTCGCTGGCACTATTACTTGAGAGAGATGAAGACTACGACTGTTGGTCGAGAGGGTTAATTTTGTGGTAGAAGAACCCTTTATTGTATTTCGCTAAAGTATTTATACGCATACCGTAAATTCTCTATTACTGGCCGGGGTTCTAACAGAGGCCGGGCCTCTAATAAAGGCCGGGTCTACAGGCCTGCTTTTTGGTTTATTGGCCGGGTCTCTATTAGAGGCCGGTCTCCAATATAGGCCGGGTTTCTCCCCCAATACGCCACGACGAATTAATACTACTTGTAATTATAAATAAATGTAGTAATAAGTATGTAATAACTAATAACGAATAATTCTTCCACACCGAAGCTTTACATTAAAATTTAAACTACCAGCAGTAGACTTTTCCGAGCGATTCTGCGGCTCGAGACTTACAGGAGAATGACAAATGTCATCAAAAATTTTCGTTTTCGAAACAACAAGCAAAAGATAATTCAGCGAGGATGCACGAAATAAAAAAATCTTCAATTGATCTTCGAATAAGGAAAATCTTTAATTGTCGAGTGGGGTTTGAAAGCATGGGATAGTTTATCATCAGGCGCAATATTTAATAAATATGTGGTTTAACAAGCCCATTGAATGGCTGAGAAGATAACATTATTCTTTGTTTGAAGGAAGATAAATTAAGTTTGCTATATTTATTTATTTAACAAATTCCGCAAAGTGTCTCTAATACAAGCCGGGTCAACAACACCAGGTTTTGGTTATTGGCCGGGTCTCTAATAAAGGCCGGCCTCTAATATAGGCCGGGTCTCGAGGCTCGAAGTTTCAATTATAGGCCCGGGCCTCTAAAAGAGAATTTACGGTATGTGGAAATGCATTCCATTTACATAAATACATACACGTCTTAACTTGTCGCACCTTGATAAAAATAACGATCGCATCCATTTCCTGGAAGGCTGCTTTCCCACATTTCTGAGAATACCTGTGTTTATGTGCGTTGACAAGACCGAAAATACAGGTAAAAATCGTTTGAGCTTGTAAATATTTCATTTCTACTCATGGTTTCTACATTTATTATATATTTGCAATTTATCACGATTTGGTATATATTTATTTAACTACTGATCAACACCGAAATTATTTGAAGAAAATTACACACATTTAGGAGCAGTTTTAGAAAGTATGTACATGTATGTTATTTGTCAATGCACGCGTTGACTTAAAGTATACATGATAATAAAGTAAAATATAAAATTAAGGTATTTAAGTTCAGTACAATTTTCTAAGTTTTACTTCAATAATTTGTTAAAATTGTCACCGGGATCGTTACCACGTTATTGACAAAGATTTGTTGCATAAATATTTCAACCTACATCCAACATGAAGCCAATGCTGTAGTAAGTATCCGCCTCCATGGTGAACATCTTGTCGAAATTGATATAGAATATTTCCCCTTGTTTCGCATAAACGCTAAACTTTGCATGGTCAAGGACAATACGCCACTTGGGGACGCTTTCAATAACAATGGTCGCTTTGAAGTACCCATCGGACAGGAAGGGACCCAAGAAGCCTAGACCGGTCAGACCGATGCGTTGATTAACTTTCACCCTGGAAATATTGCAAACATTTGTAAAAAAAATCAGGAGAATTTCTTATTGATTAGTTAAGTTTGCTTACGTGACACGATACGTGACCCCATTAAATCCCATGTGAGCGTTTTTCATCACAGTACCGCGAGAAACAGTTCTCTCTTCGGTTTTTAGAATTTCGTAATTCATGTTGTTTTTTTAAAGGACAATTTTTGTATCTGTGTTGAAAGTTAATACAGGAATGTGGCGATGACGAAGGACGGAAATGAGGAAACGTTTGGCAAATCGCGATAATTACTTATCATCTCGCGTTAAATTTTCATGTGATGTTGACTTTGAGGGAATTAAATTTATCATGGGTGATGAGGCAGGGTTACATATGTATGCTCAAATTATCTTCATGTGAATTATAATGAAACTGATGTCACCAATTAGTTTTGCATGTCTGAAAATTTGCCTGCTTTAACTTTGCGTGAATCCTTGCATGATAAATGCATAAATCATGTAAAATAAATCTCATGCTATCTGTTATGACCGTGTCGTATGATTTTTCCGTGAAGTGGAATTGTGTGTAAAACTTGGGCGGATTTGGTGCATACCTAAGTCATTTTGAGACAGACAGATTGAAAGATGATGAAGAATTTAAATTAATTTTGTGGATGATAAAAGAGGCGAAAATTAGACTTCTCAAGTAAACGGTTGATGAATTGTATTGTACCAAGGGTCTTATGTACATATGCACATATGCATATATTGGTTGTATGTAGAGTGGGTTTTGTGTATATCTCGATATGCTATCAAATTAAATAAGCGTAAGATTAGGCGATGAATTCAATATAACTCGTGGAAAATTGGCCAAGACAATTTCTTAGTAGGTAAATATTTAAAATCAATTTGAGACAATCCTAAAACCAACATTTATTCCAAAGAAGTCAATAAATAACGAAATTGATAAGAACAATTTCTTTAAAGTACCATGTGAAATTATGTTAATTTGCAATACACGACCATTTCGCACTATGATCAAAACGCTATTAGCACATTGCCAATTATTTCCACCAAATAAAATAAGATACTTGACTTGCTATCTTTCGTTATTCTGCTTAAACTAAACTGTCCCAATCCCACGGGCAGAATGAGCAATCTCAGACTTCTTACTTTCTTCCGGTACACTGTTCTTCGACATCCGCTCTTCCCGACAAGGTGACGCTCGTTTTTGCAACACCGAAAAAAAATTCTACACAAGGCATCACATTTTCCAAACATTGTCAGCAGCAGCTCTAAAATTAGGACGGATAATATAACTGTGAATCCATTAATGACAAACATTAGGTGAGAACCTCGTCCATAAAGGCGAACCAAGAGAAATGCAAATCCACAAAGCATAACTCCAACTGCGGCAAGAATCAGGACAACGGAAAGTTTTACAGCGTTCTCCACACTTTGAGAAATTATGCGAAATCTGTTATAATACTGAAAGCGTTTCTGACCCTGATTTGGGCCAATTTCTATCAACTTTTGCAAAATTGAGGTCGCTTTTGCGCCCAAATTAGTAGCGGCAGAAATGAAAAAGACAAAAATTCGGACGCCCTCGTACATTAAAAAATTGCAAGTTGGCCATGCCGTCAAGATTATGAAAATAATTTGGAATACTTTTCCGAAACCGGGAAGCCAACAATTTTTTACGAAGGAATTGAAATGAGGGAACGACATGAGGTACATGACAATGTAGTAGACAGGGTCGTTCCCATTGGAAACAATGGAAACGAGCGTAATCGGTGGGGAAAGGTATAAAATCATTGTGAGAGATTCGAATGTTCCCGCGAATCTAGTAGTTTCTGAAGTACTTTTTCTGCCACCAGTTTCTGAAAACGTAAGTCCACTCACACATTATGCACTACATGATTTTGGGGGTACGCTTTAATTTTGAATTTAGAATACCTGCCGTCGATTCGGTGTCCATCTGGATCATCTCGTTTGCCATGTGAACTGCCATGTCTAAGATATCAAGCACCCAAACTTTGTAGGCGATCGTGCCACAAAATCCGAGAAGGAACCACACGCTCCACATCCATATTCGTGGATCCATCCCCATCTTGCCATATGATTTAGTTTCCTTGACAACAATCCAAATCGCAGCCACGCACATGACCCAGACAGAGTTGAGTAATATCATTGAGATCCAATCAACGAAATGGGGAAACCTTTGACGTGTCTTCCGAATTATAGCGATGCCATTTTTGTCGATAATTATTTCGACGCGTGGTTTGTACTGGAATGGATAAAACTCGATGAAGAGGAGTTGAAGGATGGGAATTTTGTGATTTTGTGCTTTTTCTTTGTTTTTCATGGCTGTATTTTAAAGTTTCTAGGGGATTTATACTCAGGGCATGAACTATATACATGTATGTAAATACATAAACGTTTGTCGGGAGGTTGATATATTTTTATTTATTTATGTAGCTCTGCCTTGGACAGTGGTAAGTGTTCATGGTAGGCAATATTTTATTCCAAGGCTTCGCATCGATAAATCAGGCAGTTCCAATGATTACGCGAGTAAAGATTGTTCGATATCATGCTAACAATTCCGTTAACTTAAATAACATACATATGTAAGTATTGCCGATATCAAACCCAATTCAAACAAATTGTGAATACAATATTTAGTCATAAGTAATCAAATGTCACAATGATGAAGTCACAATACATAGACGTATGTATGTACATACATTCCTATTAAATACATAAATATGTAATGGTGCCATAACTGTCTTTGGTCTTATCCAAATGGTTACCCAAATTCAAAGTTAATTTCTGCAGAATATAACATTAGATCCTGTAACATTTATTTCAGTTTCAAATGATGCATGCCATTAAACCTAACCGTTTTTCAATACCTTAACATAAAATGTCTAAATTACAATTTATTCCAAATATTTAAATTCAAACGTAATTGTTCTTGCTTTCTTCGAGTTCCGTCTCAGCAATGCCGTTTCAAACAAAAGACAAAATAGACAACCCGTTATGCAAATCCCAAATAAATAAAATCCAGCTACAATTTTTGACTCTGGGGTGAGTTGAGATTCAGCATCAAATCTCGGGTGGGTCCAATTAGCATAGTGATGAAATAGTTTGGGAGGCCTGCTCATTAATCGCAACCAGCCTTCCCAATGTGCATAGATTCCTGAGGATATCATAATCTTGAGTCGTTTTTCTGCATAATTTTCAAGAATCTGGAAATTTGGCCAACCGGTAATTACAGTAATGTATGTTTCAACTACTCTCAAATACTTTTGGCCGTTCGGATTATCATTTACGAAAGGTAACAAAGAATCAATATTTTCTTTTGTGTCCCAAAATCCAATTTTGTCGCAAGTCGACAGTGTCGTCAGGAATCTTTCTGTTTCTCTGTAATCGATTGGCTTTAATGGGGACATTGCGATTGTATCATTGTACATCTTTTGTTCGATCCTTGCAAATGCGTCAAATTGGTTTTCTCCGTCTTTTTCCTGCATTTCGTATCTAGACAGATGAAACATGTCACGAAATAATCTTGACATCCTTTTGTATCCGGCAGGCATCAGGTTCCATCCCTCTGACCTAACAAATTCATTTAACTGACTTTGATAAATTAAATATATATGTAAATATCTGTACGTTTGTATGAAATTATTATACGCATGTGAAATAAATTAATTGCACACAACTTCTTCACTTTGATCACCGCATCGACTCCGTTAAATGTATATATGTAGGGTTAAATAATGCATAAATATACATACTTACATATGTACATACATATGTTTATGCATTATTTAACCCTGCATACATTTAATTATTTCGGTGCGGGAATGCGAAACTCAGAGTGACATGGTTTGAAATCTCAATTTATTCAGAGTCTGACCTATCTGCGTGTGGAGACTATCTATGCATCCTCACTTAGGTTCTGTATGGGTTTTGTAACTAAAACTCTGAACAACCTTTGTACGTACATGTATACAATTAAGTACATATGCACATTCAAGTATAATAAAACGCTAAGCCAATGTGTTAAACAGACTTACCCAATTGGTACGTTTTGTGGGACAAATAATTCGTATATCTGAAGTAAGAAATACATATAACGGTACTCCAAGGGTATTTTACCGATCGGATTCGGAAAGTTGAAGGGAAGGAGAACTTGCAACTCTTCAATGTCGAAAAGGCTTTCCCACGGCGTGTGATACGTAGCAGGGACAATCATTTCCATTGTTAAGATGGTTTTATACCAGTTTGTTAGCACAGTTCCAGTCAAAACCACCCACATACCAATTAAAAGATGCACTCCTAATATGTCTCCTTGCCCAGGAAATCTACTCTGAAATGAGTTCAATTTATCCAGCACAGAATTTTCTAAGCATATTCCAATAGCAACTCGAACCCCGTTCAACCCAGGAGGAACCACCAGTGCGGTTAAAATAAGCACAACAATTAGCAATGTTAGCACTATGCAAACCCATGATGCAAGATCGAATGGGCTGATGAGCGAGCTCATAATAAATGTTTCCGGCCTCACTTTGTGGCAAGAGAGGAAGCTGAAGGTTTGCACTTGCTGAATTACAAATGGGTAACTATGCAATCCAAATTTGCCTATTTTTGGACTTGTGTAGATTGCCGAAAGATTTAGGTGAGCATATTCATTTGCATCTTGGATCAACCAAAATTGTACAAACTGATCGATATTTTCTAACCCGGATACTTCCTTCATCTTCAGCTCCTTTGATCCCTTGTCGTACCAATTTTTCAGGTTATGTTCCAATTTGGCATCTTCCAAGTTATAAATTCTTTTCATTCGCCAAAAATATTTGTTCATATTTCTCACTTTTTTCCTAATTCCTTGTAATTTGCTGAAACAAAGATGTTTTTCAACAATTGAACAATTCACATTGTACCAGGGTTTGGATGGTTGTCCCACCAGAAGTAGGCTGTCATGGTGATAAATATTATGATAGTATAATTCTATCCGATTTTTAGGCGTCGGCCAGATAATTCCATCGGGATCCAGAGTTATGTCCAGGATTAAAATGTCTCTTCCAAAAAGTGAGCCAATGTGGTGTGTCAAATTTCCAATTTTCCGCTGAAGATTGAATTTCGAATTAGTAAGTAGAATAACATATTGTGGCGACACTAATGACTTGATCAGATTGTTGCCTTCCTCTTCAAAATAGCTCCTGACATTTTCCCGTGGTGGTGGAAATTCGAAGACTGCCCAACAATGAAGGGATGGAGTTTTCCTTGGCTGAACTGAGA